AAAAAAAAAATATACTTAATTTTCCCTTGATAACATATTATAAGAGCATGTAAAAGGAAATATTTTTTTTTAAAAAAGGCCAAACTCCTGAATAAATGTGTAAATAAGGATATTAACTTTATATATTTTTTCTAGTTAAGAATGTTAATTTTATCAATTTTTTAAATAATGATGTCAACTTTTAACTTTTTTTATTTGAAGATTAATTGGGTAGTGATGCTGACGTGACTAACATATTTTTTAGATTAAATACCTAAATTAGTTCCTTAACTTTTATTTTTGAACTAATTTATCCTTAAACTTTAGAAAGTACCAAAAACATCCTTCAACTTCAATTATAGTAGATGAGATTTGATTTAATAAAATTAAATAAGAGTTAATTTATTTCCTTATAAATTAAGAGTTACTTATGGTAGGTGGGACTAATTAAATGGGAAAATATATTAATTGTTTTAATTTTTAAATATAAATAAAGTAAAATCAAAAATTAAAGTAGTTTTTAAATTATTTAAAATTTAAAAAATCCACATAATCATCTTTTACATAATGGATTTTCCACCTAATATTGAAAATGTAAAATAGTCAATCATTTAGTGAAAAAATTAGTTATATCAGCACTTAACTGATAGAAAGACGAAATTGGTGCTGAAAATTGAAGTTAAAAGATGTTTTTGATACTTTCTAAAGTTCAAGGATGAATTGATTCAAAAATAAAAGTTAAGAGACCAATTCAAGTATTTAACCTAAAATATGTTAGTCACTTTAACATCGCCATCCAATTAATTCTTAAATAAAAAAAAATTAAAAGTTGACATCTTTAAATAGAAAAAATTGAAAGTTAACATTCTTATTTAGAAAAAGTTAAAAATTAATATCTTTATTTAAAAACTAACAAAATTAACATTCTTAAATAAAAAAAATGTAAAATTAACATTTTTATTTACACTTTTACTCCCAAACTCCCAATTAAAGGTATTGCAACAGCATTAATGATGGGTAAGTTTGAGCAAAAAAATTTTAATTTTTTAAAAATAAAATTTTAAGTTTAAATTTTATAAATAAAAAAATTAACATTAATAATTTTTTTTAAAAATTTTGATGTAATTAAAATTTAATAAAAAAAGAATTGCAACAGTACTGCAGCAGCTGCTCATGTCAGGGGCAATTCCTGCATTTTGGTTTGGTTAAACTCTTATTTTGGTCCCTAAACTATTATATGGATCTCTGATTTGGTCCCTAAACTAAAGAAATCCCTAATTTGGTCCTTAACTATTGTACGGACCTTGAGTTGATCCTAAACTATTGTACGGACCCTGAGTTGGTCCCTAAATTATTGTACGGACCCCAAATTAATTCCTAAACTATTATACAGATCCCCAATTTAGTCCCTACTGTTTACCAATTTAACCCTTGGTCCTTTTGTTAAATAATAGTTTAGTGACCAAATTGAGGTGAAATTGTAAACAATAAGGACCAAATTGGGAGTCCATACAATAGTTCAATAACCAACTTAGGCCAAATTATAAATAGTGGAGACCAAATCGGGGTCCGTACAATAGTTTAGGGACCAAATCAGGGATTTCTTTAGTTTAAAGACCAAATCAG